TTTTTTATCCACTCATCTACTGATGGGCACTTGTGCTGTTGTAAATTGTGCTGCTATGAACAGAGGGGTGCACACATTCTTTCTGATTGGTGCTTCAGGTTTCTTAGGATATATTCCTAGAAGTGGGATCACTGGGTCAAATGGCAGATCCATATTTAATTAACTATTAAATATTTTGTGAATACTCCATACTGTTTTCTATAATGGTTGCACCAATCTACTAGGAGTAGTGTACTAACAGTATAATAGGGTATAATAGGGTTCCCTTTTCTCCACATCCTCACGCACTTGTCATTTGTTGGTTTGTTGATGGTAGCCATTCTGACGGTGTGAGATGGTACCTCATTGTCATTTTGATTTGCATCTCTCAGATGATTGTGACTTTGAGCATTTTTTCATGTCTCTTGGCCATCTGTATGTCCTCTTTGGAGAAATGTCTATTTAGGGCCTTTGCTCATTATTTAATTGGATTGTCTTCCTTTTGTTAAGTTGTATGAGTTCCTTATATATTTTGGATATTAATCCTGGCCTCTCCTACTATTAATTATTCCTACATCCCAAGCTCTGTCTCAGAGGAGTTCAGGGCTGTGAAGAAAGTGCCAGCAGCTAGGCTTGCTTCAACTTCCCTGCCAGAGTTTGGCATGTTCTTCAGTGGGGTCCCCTCTGGCTCCAGGTATTCCAAGGAGCTACCTGGGCCCACCAGTTGTTCCTGGGTTAGGAACTTATAAGCTAGTCACTAGTATTTTTTTAGTAGGTAGAGCTGTGTGGAGGCTAAGAGCTCTGACTCTGATCAGACTGCTATGGTTCATATCCAAACTCCACCTCAACTAATTGTGTGATTTGGGACAAATTCCTTAAACATCTGTGCCTCAATTTACTCAACTATAAAGTAGAGGAAATAATGGGACTGTAAGAATTAAATAATTCCCATAAAGCACTCACTATATGTACCAGGAGTATTTTAACTCTTGCTGAGCCTTTAATAATATAATATCAAATAAGATTTCTGGGGCCCTCCTCCACTTAACTCCAACCGAAAGGAACTAACTGATGGACCTACAAGCCTAGTGTA